ATATTAAAAGTCTTTTAGCTAACTTAAGTCCCGTTTCGTTATTACGCTTATTTACCGCCGCTGCTACCGCCGATCTAGCTTCGCTAGACTTGTTGCGTTAAATCTTAGCCGCTATAAATCGAAATAATACTTTGCTAAATAACTTTCTTAGCCGCGTAAGTATATATCAAAAGACCTTTATAATTCTTTTTCGATTTAATTATAATAAGTTTCCGGTAGTAGTAGTAGTAGTATTCGTTTAACATCTACGGGTCACTTTTTACAGCGAGTCTTGTGACCTCTTTAAAGGTATACAAACGTGCAGCTAGTCCTTATATATATAAGAGCACAAGACGCATATAGCGTAAGAGCAGATCTCGAGAAAATAGTATAAGTATAACGGTGTTTCTTTTTATTAAAACGGTGTGTAAAAAATATATCAAGCAAGCATGCAAACGAGTTTTTATAAAAAGATCGAAGTTAATATCGTTTGCCGAAGCAAGCTACGCGAGTAGCTGAGTTTATAACGGAGCACTTAAGCTTATTAAATATAAAAAAAAAGAAAAAAGAAAGAAAAGTTACTAGCAATAAACTAAGAGTTAAATAAGTATATGCTTTCGTAGCGCTTCGATATGCAAGATCGACCCGCTATTAATACCGAAAGCAGATTTTATAATAGAACTCCGTGACTTTTAAGAAGCTATAAAAGTCAATTAACGAAGCTTTAAAAAAGCGTATGTAAGCAATCGCTTTTCGCAAATTAAAAAGCGGAGTAAGTGGTCGTATCTTTTTAAGCTATCGATTAAAAGAGCGTTACGACTTTTTATAAAAAGCAATATATATCAGAAACTTGTCTTTTCGATAAAAGCAAATGGTTTTCGCGTTTTCGTAACGATACTTCCGATAATATTACGTAAAGTCTTTATACTAAATGCGCAAAGCGAGTAGTTTATATAAAACGTACTTAAGCAAGTATAGTTCTAGCGAAGCTTTATTTGCGTACTCGAGACTTTAATCGCGATACTAAGTAAAAAGTTTCGTTTTGCTCGCACTTTATTATCTATTTCGAGCTTAATCGATTAAAGTCTTAATAATAAACTTAATCTTAAACGTTATAAGTTCGAGAGTAAAGCTTAATACAAGCTTAAGCTTTACTCTTTTATTAGCGAGCCGATCCGCCGTTTCGTTATTAGTAATACCGGTATATCTCGAAGCTTATTTAACGCTAACTTTTAATTGTTTTATTACTTTTTAAATACGTAAGAACGCTTATTAAAAAATAGCTAAAGCTATGCTTCGTATATATCAAATCACGGACGTATTGTTTATGCATAACTATATATAGCAATAAGTAAAGTTTAATAAAAGCCGAATAGCGTGCTCGAGCGCTTTTTAAGCTTTTATTACTTTCGCGTTAAAAACGTACGATAAATTGTTAATAGCTTTTTTGCTTATAGTAATCTTTTTTTGGTTTTAATAAATAGCGTATTCGTACTCGACGTATTTGTGCTCGTTTTTATATTGCTTTAAACTGTTTAAAAAGAAAGTAATGTTTTGATCGATAAGTTAAGCTTATTATTTATTAAAGTCTTTGAAAGCTTATTTTTTTAAACGCTTTAAGTAAAGTCCGTACGGCACCTAACTAAAAAGTAAAGATAAGCTAGCTTTAATCGTAAGTAAAAGAAAAGTATAGCTTTTAACTTTTAAAGTTTTATTTGAATCCGCTATCGAAAGCTTACGATAAGACTTTTAATAATTATAAAAAGAAAAATACGCTTTATTATCGAATAAGCTTCGTTAATTATTCGCAGCTGCAATGCTTATCGCACTTAAGTCTTTTCGAATGCTACTTCTTTAAAAGAAAGTCCGGCGTCTTTTAAAAAAGTAATAATTAAAGCCGTGTATTAAGTAAAGAAAATACTTTTCGCTACGTAAATAATAATCTTATTAATCGTATCGATATATCTTTTTAAGCTTGCGTTGACTTCTTTATTTAAGTTATTTTTAATTAAGTATCGTAAAAGCTTCGTTCGTCTTTTGTATTAAGCTTTAATATCGTATAAAATCGATAGTAATACGCAAATGATTATTGCTTTGCGTAGCGCGTAAGCGAAAAGACTATTCGTTATGCGAGCGAAGCTTTTGATTTAAAATGCTATTCGTCGCGCTTTTATAGTTTTTTCGAATAAGTAGCGTTTAAAAGTCATTTTCCGATCGAACTATACTTTAAGCTATCTTAGCTCCGAAGTAGCTTTTGTCGTCGAAAGCTGCGCTTATAAGTTTAAAATAATATCGGTCTTATTTAGCTATAAGATAATTATATTAAAAGCAAAGTCTTCGTTTTTATAAGAAAAGTAGATCATTTTTATCTTTTTTAAAGCAAAAAAGATTTGATTCTTTGCTTTATAAGTTAAAATACTTTAAATATCCGTTGCAAAAAAAGTGATATTAAATGTAAATAAGTATAACGCTTTATAAATACAAATATTATTAGCGTATTTAAATCGTAATATTGTGTTTTAATTAAAGAGTTCCGCGAAGTATAATATATATAAAACGAAAGATACAAGCGATCTTTAAAGTATATTGCATTTTACGTCGTAACGGTTCGTAATAGCACTTTCGAAGCGTACTTAAACTTATCGGTCGCTAAGAAAAAAGTGTATAAGCTTTAAAAAAGAAAAAAGCTAGCTTTGCTTATTTATACGCTTAAAAAGCTAGCGCTTAAGCAAAGCGTCGAAAGCTTTTTAAATGTTTAATATTATTATCGTAATAATTTTGCTTGCTAAAAAAGCTGCTTCGATATCGTAAGTAAAGCAAGCAACGAAGTTTATAGCAGATCGCTTAAGTAAAGCTCCGCCGTATTAAAAGCTTAAAATGCTTAAAGTTAAAAAAGTTTAAGTAATTCGCTTAACGATAATACGCTTTAAGCTTTTAAATATATAAAAGAGAAAAGCTATAAAGCGCTACGAGCGTATTAAAGTCTTATCTTTTTTATTTACTTTAAGTATTATAGCTACTTCCGTTAGTTTTTAATAAATTGAAAAAAAGCTATGCCGAAAGCAAGCATTAAGCAAAGCGTAAATATAATATCAAATGTGCTATTAAACTTCTTTTAAAAGCTTAATAATAATTCGGTTTGTACTTAACGAAGTCCTAATTACTTTTATAATGCTTCGTTTTACTTCTTCGAAAGTAACGGTCAAGTTTAATAATAAATGCTTCGTACCGTCGTATTAAAGTTCTTTCGGAAAGTCGTTTTCAACGCTAAACCGGCCGAGTATAATCCGTCGTAATAAGTCTGCTTTTTTTAAATATCTTATACGGTAGCTTTTTTATATATAAAAAAAAAGGATTCAAAGTTAATATTTAACTTATATTAACCGACTACTTTATATAAATCTTTATCGTTTACAACTCCGTTTAATACTTATATTTAATATTCTCTTTTAGCTTTGCGTATAGCGTTGCGGAAATGCTCAGTTTCGTTCGTTAAAACACGATCGATAAAGTTTTAACGCGCTTCGATATATTCGTAATAAGCTTGTTCAACTTTTAAAGTCTATTAAAAGGTTATTTTATTTATATTTCGATAAAGTATATCGACGGCTTTGATTGCGTTCTTAAAGATTTTTACGAAAGCTAAAGCACTTCGTTTAATTTATATAAAGTTATAAAAGCTCGAAAAGTTGAAAAAAGTGTTTATATCGTTGCGTATAAAATCTTCGAATTTATTTATATCTTTGTTTATTATTATTTTATAAAACTAGTTTATTAACACGCGCTTTCGTTTCGAAATCGTAATAATCAAGGTCTAGTAGTTTAAAGTGCTATACAAGTCTTCTTTTACTACCGTAATAACGTACGGTATATTTAAAAAAGTAAAGTCTAAAACGTATCCGAGCTAATATATAAGTTTTTTTAATACGCCGATAAAGTCTATGCCGCTCGTTATAAACTAATTTGTAAAGTCTTTTTTTCGATAAGCGGTTCGAACTTTTAATTCGAATATCTCGTATTATATATTAAAGTTTTTTTTTATTAAGCACTTACGATTAAAAGTAAAGTGTAAGACGTAGTCGATGACTTTATTAATAATCGATTGTTTATAAGCGTTAAGAATAGTATATTTATTAACGTCGATTTAAAGCATATTTTTACTTTAAATCAATCGTCGCTACTTTATATAAAGTCTAGCTCTTTTACGAATGTATATAAAAACTTAAAATCTTTCGGCTTCGAAGTTATCTTTCGAAGTTCTTTATAAGTCTATTAAAAAGTAGATGTTAAAAGCGAAGTATGTTTATATCTTTATATTGAAATAAGTAATTAGTTTTTATACGTATATTATATCTATTTTATACTTATACGTTAAAGAAAGCATAATTTAATAATTAAATGTAAAGCGTTTTATATAAGCTTATCCGACGTATATATCGACTTTAAATCGTATCGTATAGCCGTAGCCGGTTCGTATCGGTATATTATTTATTAAATAAATTAAAAAGCGAATTCGTTTTTCGAATCCACGTCCGCGTCCGTTAAAAGTGATATTTTAAGTTTGATTTTAAGTTTCTGCTTAATTACTTTATAACTACTTTAAGCTTTTAAACGATTGCTAAAAGTAAAAATAAAGATCGAAGTTATGCGTTCGTATTCCGTTACTTTTTATCTTGCGACGCGCTTGCGCGTTGCAAAAACTTTCGTTATATCGATAGTATCTATAATATCAATTGCTTCCGAGCTTTATATTTAACGTAATAAATATGCCGAAGTGTTTATATTAAAAGTGCTGCTGCTAATAATAATAGTAATAGTAACGCTACTTACGGGCGCAACCCTTAGGTGTAGCAACCGAGTGCACTCGGTTACAACACTTTACTTACACCTTATTTACACTTTAACGTTTTGGTGTAGCAACCGAGTGTACTCGGTTGTAAATCGAATACTCGATGTATACTCGGTGTATACTCGGTTATGGTTCGGATAACTTTAAAAACGTGTACTCGATTTACAACCGAATGAACACCGAGTACTCGATTTACAACCGAGTGCACTTAGTTGCTACACCGAATACTCGATTTACAACCGAGTGCACTCGGTTGCTATACTTTATAATTCGATTATTACACTTAATTAAATTAATATTAACTTTATTAATTATTATTATTAAAACCTTATTAACACCTTACTAACACTTTATTAATTTCAACTTTATTATTATTTATACTACTACTAATATTGCCTTGCCACCAGTATCACTTCTAGTATCGCCACTAGTATCGCCACCAGTATCGCCTCTAGCATTGCCTTGCCACCAGTATCGCCTCTAGCATTGCCTTGCTACCAGTATCGCCTCCAGTATTGCCTTGCCACCAGTATCGCCTTTAGTATCGCCACCAATATCGCTACCAGCGCTACCACTGGTATTGCTTTGCCTTTAGTATCGCATCCAGCAAATAGTAGCGGCGGTGAGGTAGTGGCGGCGGTGAGGTAATAAAGGTAGGTGAGATAGTGGCGGCATTGAGATAGTGGCGGCATTGAGGTAGTGGCGGCGGTGAGGTAGTGGCGGCGGTGAGGTAATAAAGGTGGGTAAGGAAGTGGCGGCGGTGAGGTAATAAGAGAAGCAAAAAGAAGTACGAGAAATATATAAGTTAAAAGTATAAGCTAGTTATAATGATGACGTAGAGTATTTTCTGCTCTTAGCACGTGCTTTTATTTATTACGATAAAGTTGATATTAAGTGTAAAGGTTAATATTAAAATGTAGGTTGATATTAGGTGTAAAGGTTGATATTAAGATGTAAAGATTAATATTAGAGTTTAAAGGTTGATATTAAGGTGTAAAGATTAATATTGGAGTTTAAAGGTTGATTGAAATAATAATATATTGAAAAACTCGTCAACCTTAAGATTAACCTTTATAAACCGATTATAATCGGTGTATAATCGGTTGATTGGTGTTAACTCGGTGTTCACTCGGTGTGCACACGGTTGTTAAACGTAAGGGGTGCGCTCGTAAGTACTTATAAAAGCTACGGAAGTAAAGTATAAAGTATTATCGCGTGTATGCTTTTTTTTATAATTTTTAATACTAATTCGTCGGATAGCCGCGAGCTTTTTTTTTATAAGCCGTATCAATTTGCCGTCTTTTTTATACGAAATAGCAAAGCAGTTTTAATACTCGGCTTCGAAAGGATTATAATAGTTCACGTACTTCGCCGGCGTTATATAATCGCTATAAGCTAAGCCGTCGTGCTAATCGATTCTTTAGCTGTATTTGTTATAACGAAAGTATCGGATATACTTAATAAAGTTGCAATAGCTTTAATATTTTAAATCGTGTTCGTAATCTTGTATTTCTTTTTAATTAGTTTAGCCGTGTTTTTTATATTAAAAAAGCGGAATAGCTTTACTTTTTTTAAAAAAAGAAACGATTAAAATCACGATAACGTTAAAAGCTTTAAAGTCGACGCTTTTATCGTCGATTTTAATTTCGATTAGCGTTTATTTCGTTTATACAATTACTTTATCGAAAACGAAATCTTTAATTAATATTAATTCTAGCTCGCCGTTCTTATTAAAAACGTATATAAAATAAAGAATATAATAGACCGCGTAATTATATAAAAGCTATAGTATCTCGACCTTAATCGCGGATAAAAGTCGCTTAACTGTTTCTTTGCTTTTTTAGCTAATAAAAGTATTACGTATTTATAAGTTTTTAATTAAAAATGATTATTCGATTTAAGTCGCGTATATTTCGATAATAAAATCTATTATAAAATCGCGAAAAAAATCGATTAGCGCTTTACGCAAAGCATAAAGATATTAAAATCGATTGCGCTTAGCTTCGTTTATAATTATAACGAAGATTCGAAAGTCGAGTTTTTTTAAATATATAAAAGCTAACGATAACGAAGTTTTATTTAAAAATAAAGTTTAATTAAGTCCGCTATTTTTAATTAAAGCTTTAGCTTAAAGCTTAGCTTTTATTAAAGTCAAATCGACTTTTCCGGCCGTTGCTTTCGTAAAGTTAATAAGAAAAAGTAATAAAAGCGTTTTAATAGAAAGTAAGTAAAAGGATTCGCTGCGAATACGAATAAAAGCAAAGATCTTTCCGCCGGACTTAACGTAAAAAGTAATAATAATAAAGTTCGTAGATTTCTTAATAATTTTGCGAGCAATAGCTTTGTCCGTTGTGCTTTAAATCAATACGATAAATTTATCGTTTATTTCGAAGTATTAAAAGATAATACGTTACGTATTCGCTTTCTTTTTGTTTAAAGCTTTTACTTGCGCTTTTATTACAACGTAATTAAAGTTGTCGAGCTAGTTTTTAACACTTATAATAAGCTTCGGAAGTAATTAATTATTTATATTTCGTTGCTCGTTTCGAAGACGTTTAGTAAAGTTGTAATAAAGTATCATTGCTTCGTTTAATCGAATAAAGTCGGCCGTAATATTACTTCGAAAGCGGCGGTTTAATATTTTACTTATTATTTTTCGAGTTACCGAGACGAAAGCAGTTCGAAAAAATAAAAAAGGTCTAAAACGTTAAAAAATAAAGTTGTTTACAAGCTTAAACGGCAAGAAAAGGCCTTATTAAAAGATCCTTTAAATTCAAGAGATAATGTAAAGGTATAAGTTTCCGGTAAAGCTCCGTCTCGTTTATTTTCGCTATCGCTTTTTATTTTTCTTACGAAAAGACTTCGCAAAAGTGCTCGCATAACTGTTAATCGCAGCAATACCGGTGGTTCTTTAAAAGGTTTTAACTATAGCAATATCGGTAGTTCTTCGCGAGGTTCGAGTCGTAGTAATATCGATAAGTCTTCGAAAGGTAAAAGTAGTGCTTAAAGTACTACGAAAGGCTCTCGCACTATTCTTTTTAACTTTAAATTATAAGGTCGAAAGGTTTTTTTTTTATCGCGTGTCGGCAGCTTGCTAAGTAATTAATGCAATAGATTTTTCGTATGCTTTTCTTAATCAGCCTCCGAGTAAGGTCCGCTTTATGTATATAATATGATCGTATATAATAGATCGGAAGCATATAAGTATAATAACGTAAAGCTTTTTAATATAAAGAAAAGAATAAAAAAAGTATAAAAAGAAAGAAAACAAAGAAAATCAAACTCAAATAAAGAAAAATCAAATTTAAACTCGTCTTTTTTTTTACGTATAATTATGCTTTTATGACATAATCACTCTTTATTGCTTTTTTATTATTGCTTACCGAGACCTTTGCGTATTAGCTTCGTTGCTCTTTCGTAAAGCCGAGTAATCGAATAACAAATTTATTTAAGCGCTTGATTTAAAAGCCGGACTCGGCTATTTCATTTAACGAAAGCTGTTTTAAAAATTTCTTTATATAAAGCTTAAAGCGAAGCGATAACGCTGCGAGAGTGTATCGCACGTAAAACTTCTTTAATCGATTGCTAGCAAATATTTTATTTAGCAAAGCTTCATCTTCTTTTAGCTTTTTTAATTTATAATATCTTTTTATATTTATTAACGAAATTTAATAAAAGCTAAGCTACCGAAAATCTAGCTTCTTAATATTAAATATATCTACTTACGGGCGCATCCCTTACGTTTAGCAACCGTATGCACACCGAGTGAACACCGAGTTAATACCAATCAACCGATTATACACCGATTATAATCGGTGTTTATTAAAGTTGATCTTAAGGTTGACGAGTTTTTTAATATATTATTATTTAAATCAACCTTTAAACTTTAATATTAATCTTTACACCTTAATATCAACCTTCAAACTCTAATATTAATCTTTACACCTTAATATCAACTTACATTTTAATATCAACTTCCTTTATACTTAATATCAACTTTATCGTAATAAATAAAAGCACGTGTTAAAAGCAGAAAACACTCTACGTTATTATTATGATTAGCTTATACTTTTAACTTGTATATTTTTCGTACTTCTTTTTGCTTCTTTTATCACTTTACCGCTGCTATTACTTTACTACCGCTATTACCTTACCGCCGCTACTACTTCACCGCCGCTACTACTTCACCGCCGCTACTACTTCACCGCCGCTATTACCTCACCGCCGCTATTACTTTACCGCCGCCATTACCTCACCGCCGCTACTACCTCACCGCCGCCATTACTTTACCGCCGCTATTATTTGCTGGAAGCGATACTAGAAGCAAGGCAATATTAAAGGCGATACTAGTGGCAAGGCAATACTAGAGGCAGCGCTGGTGGCGATACTAGTGGCGATACTGGAGGCATGGCAATGCTGGTAGCGATACTGGTGGCAAAGCAATACTGGTAGCAAAGCAATACTAAAGGCGATACTGGTAGCAAGGCAATATTAATAGTAGTATAAATAATAATAAAGTCAAAATTAATAAATTATTAATAAATTATTAATAAGGTTTTAAAAATAATAATTAATAAAGTTAATAGTAATTTAATTAAGTATAATAATCGAATTATAAAGTATAGCAACCGAGTGCACTCGATTGTAAATCGAGTACTCGGTATAATAACCAAGTGCACTCGATTGTAAATCGAGTATTCGGTGTTTACTCGGTTGTAAATCGAATACTCGATGTTTATTCGATTGTAAATCGAATATACGTTTTTCGAGTTATCCGAACTATAATCGAGTATATACCGAGTATTTGATTTACAACCGAATGCACTCGGTTGCTATATTAAAACCTTAAAGTGTAAGTAAAGTATAAGTAAAGTGTTGCAATCGAGTGCACTCGGTTGCTACACTTAGAGGTTGCGCTCGTAAGTACTTTACGTATTAAGTCGTGCTTAAAAACTAAGTCACTTACTTTTAAAAGCTTAATTCGGAAGTTTTTTTTAATATTAGAAGCATCTTTTCTTTTTTGATAGTAGCGGGTTTTTTTAAGTATAGCTTCCGTAGCATCTTCGTTTCGCATCCGAAAATAACGTACTTTTAGCTCGATAAGCTTAGTACGATCGGTTATCGGTTTTTAAAATAACGTAGCTTAAGATTAGATTCGAGTCTTAATCGAAAGCATTGCTTTTTTGCTATATACTATATAAAAAAAAGTGAATCCGATAAGAGTATATACCGAAGTGCAATCAGCGAATAAAACGGCTAGCAATTGCGTAATCTAATCGGTACTTTCAAGCTTATTTAACGCGTCTTTAATTAATCTGTAAACGTTTTATTATTCTATTTGTTCAAAATTAATACGCTAAGATTACGACTCGATTGATTCTTTAATTATTAAGCAAATCGATTACTTTTTTTTTAAACTTCGAAAATCTTATAGCGGCAAATAATGTCTTTTTAAATGAACTTAGCTATTAAGAACGAATTTCGAGTCCGAATCGCTTTCGCTTCAACTTATTTACTTATATTATCTTTAACAACAATTAAATAGCTCTTGTTATTGCGTGCAATTAAATAAGTAATATTAATAGCTTAGCGTTCTATTAAGCTATTAAATCGAGTAAGATGCAGCGGTTCTTCGAGCTTATTAATTA